TTCAATTTGTTGACTTTTCAACACAAATTTGTATTAATGAAATGATTTCTTTGTTGCATAATCAATTGTATGACTTTTCAACACTAATCAATGCACCTACAATTTTAGCCACGTTGATTATCACGTGCCGACACCTACCGCAAATATCAAAGGCAAAATTGAAGGGGAATTATTGGGATTTATTAAATAATGCTAAATAATGCCACCAACTTTTTACCCAAACAACCAACATCAAAAGACCCCTGTCAAATGAGTATGACATTATCAAGTACACAAATAATGCCACTAGCTTTTTACCAAACAACCAACATGAAAGGACCCCTGTCAGATGAGTATGACATTATCAAGGACACTGGTGCCCACACGTAATGCAAATTCCTGTTCAAATAAGAGAAAAAAGGGGTGTCAAACGATATTGTAATCACCCATCTTTTGAGCATGGAACTTTACGTTATGGTCTTATTAATAAATTATCATGCATGAATCACGTGTAATTAGAATATGCCAATTCAAGACCACACGTCTCTCGCTTTACAATTTTAACTACTGAGTGCCCTTAATTTAAATTACATATTCAAAAAGTCGACTTGATTTTTGAAAATGTTGATTTCAATAACTATTACTTTGCTTATCATTTTTTTTTTCTTGATAATGCCATTGAGGCCTTCTCTCATCATACTATATTTTCTCGTAATATCATGGATCGAGGATCTATGATTAACACAGTCATACTTATATGGGTATTGAATTTTTCTAACATATTTTGCCTCATAAGACCTATTATAATAAAATTCAAATATTAATTTTAATTTACACCAAACATTGGCGTATGCTGTATATTTATTTGTATCAAACAAATTTGTATCTTCCAGATTTGAGGAAAAACATTAATTATTGTCATAATTGTGACTAATTAGGAAACAACTCAGTCGCCCTACATGATTTGTACCAAACAAATTTATATCTTCAAAATCAAAAGATAGAGAGAATCTTACAGCCTATCATCTACATTTAAATATGCCTGTCCAGGTTGTTGTCGCGAGTAAATTCGATTGGTCAATCTTCTGGATTGCATTAATTAGTTTCAAACATTGGTCAATCTTCTGGATTGCATTAATTAGTTGGAGCTGACTCTATACCACAGATAAAAACTGGCAAAAATCACGTGTTTAGAAGATTTGTACCATATTATACGTCGGTCGCATTTATCCGTAGTTGGTATTGGTCAAGAATAGAAGAAAACTCTCACTCGCGTCGACTACGGTTCAACGGACTTGTATAATAGAGAAAGCTACAACGTGACTTCTTATAAAAGTAGTTCCGAAATAGAAAGCTATTTTATAAATTAGTTTCTAAACAAAAATTAAAGTAACTTTCTTATTAAGCCCTAAAACGAAAGTCATGTCAAATGGACTCTTAAATAATTTCCCCGAACTACTGAACCATTGGGGGAAATCGGCCATTTGATACTTGCCCTACATCAAAATAGGCCGACAATCATTTAAAAACAATTGTCCTCGTGTATTTAATGTCTCCATCAGTGACACCCATATAATCAACAATTTCTTGCATCTAACTCCCTCATCGCAATCCTCTTATCATTATTTTCAGGTGAAACGTAACCATAATACACACACACACACACACTACTATTTCTCAAAATCTAATTAAGTTCATTTTATTTTTATTGCATTAGGTTTCGAAGACCAAGTGTTGATTGCATTCGAAGAACCATGAAGGTCCAGATTGTGAGCAGGAAGTTTATAAAACCAAGCATACCAACTCCCGAAAATCTCCGTACCTACAAGTTATCGTGCATGGACGAGCTTAATACAACGATGAACGTGGTTGGAATTCTCTACTATCCTTCGATCGACAATAACATTGTACATATAAACAACTTGGAAAAATCATTGGCGCAAATCTTGCCACAATTTTATCCTTTTGCTGGTAGATACAACAAGGTGAATCACTCCGTTGATTGTAGCGACCAGGGTGCTGAGTACGTAGAAGCTCAGGTACTCGACTGCGATCTAAATGAAATTATTGGGTCTGGAGTCGAACCTGTGGAGCTAAACAATCTCCTCCCACTGGAAATTGGTGAAGCTGATGAAATCACTAACCCAATTTTATCAGTTCAAGTAACCAAATTTAAATGTGGTGGGATGGCCATTGGTATATGCATTTCACATAGGATTATTGATGCATGTTCATTTGGCACATTCATATCTGCATGGGCCAAGGCCAACCTAGGAGACAAAACCGAACCAATTCGTCCAAAATTTAATTCCCAATTCTATTTTCCAGCTGAAAATTCAGTTTTTGGAACCACAAGGAGTACTAAGGACACTAGCACTGTGACCAAAAGGATTTTATTTGACAGAAAGGCAATAGAAACTCTAAGAGACAGAGTAAGCGACAACGACTGTCCCCCATCGAGAGTGGTTGTTGTTTCTTCATTCTTAGCAGAGGCTTTTTTACGCTCTGATCGCGCAAAACATGGGAAATCGCGAGATTGTGTCATAATGCAGGAGGTTAACATTCGAGAAAGAACAGTTCCACCTCTATCAAAGTATACTTGTGGAAATTTAGTGTTACTGACAACGGTAGAATGCAATGCAGAAGAAAGCAAGAGCATAGACTTTGAAAGCTTCATTCCTCTACTCAGTAACAATGCCAAGAAAGCTGTTTCTGACTGTGCCAATATATTATCCAATTCTAAGAATGGACACACCATACTCGTAGATTATTTCTTGGGTGCAATTGAAAAAATAAACGAGAGTGGCAAAAACAGTCTACGCTTTACTGATTGGTCTAAGTTTAAATTCTATGATGCTGATTTTGGTTTTGGAAAACCCATTTGGACAAGTGTTGCAAACATTCCGATAATGAACCTTGTCATGCTTATGAATACCAAAGAAAATGACGGAATTGAAGCATGGGTGCATTTGCATGAGGAAGATATGACTTATTTCGAACAAGACGAGGAAATCAAGAAGTTAACCACTTAGTTTTGGAAAATCGTCGTTTTCCGGAATCAAATAAACTGCAGCGATCAATATTTGTTGATGGTGGCTTTGCATTAATAATAATATTGTTGAAATTGCATAGGCTTTTCACTTGTTATGTTGGTAGACTTTAATATTAAGTTGTATTGATCTTTTGGATGTGGCAATAATATTTTGTGTTAATTAGCTTTTCTAAGATAATTAATTTCTCGAATTAAATTGTTATTATTTTCTTTTTCGAAATATATTTGGCTTTAGTTGTTGAGGCAGTGGTCATCCCCGTTTGAAACCTTTTCCTAACCACCGCACATTTGAACACGTGGATTGGGACAATTGAAACAACCTCTTAGATCACGACTAATGGTCTAGATTGCACTTTATCAAAAGGTCGTGACTCTTTGTTATGTATCGTTTTCACTTAAAGAATCGCACCCAATCGATGCACTTATCGGAGATTTTTTCAATTCTCACATTTAAATCGTATATATTAAACCATTAGTTCCAACATATTATTCGAGGATAGATGGCATTTCCATTTTTCTAGCTTGGCCTAAGTTACATTCAGAACTTTTTTATACATTTCAAGATTGGACAAACTTGCGCCTTCTAATTAAAAGAAGGAAAATTGATACCTGTTGCAGGATGATTAACTTTTGCTATTCGGCGAATCATATTCCAAAAGCCATATGGCTGCCTTACACTTCACTGGTCCATCCTCCATATACCTTTCTTATCTTTCGCGGTGCTCCATCCCACATTCCAACATAGCTCTCGATATATCCACTCAAAAGAGCAGGGAATGTCAGGTATTTACTTAAACATGGATACAGAAAATTAAACAAGTGTTTCGCGTGGAAATCGAGCCTCGCTAACAATTAAAAGAAGGTTTAAACGATTGTGTAAGGAACAACAACCTCTCGAGACAAAGTCCCAACGAGGAGTGTTTTATTTATGAAGAATACAACTTGCAAGAAGCGAAATGCCTCCAAGGAGCATAAGCACACTGAATTCGCAAAGTAATTGAAAGTTAACAAGAAGAAAGAAATGAAATTACATAATTCTCAGTTTGAGAGTCGTTTATTTCACTTTCTTCTAAATTTTTCTCTCTCTTTTATACTTCTTTGACGGTTTTTCTTGTAGAACCGTTTGAAAACTGTTCATCGCCCTGTAACTATCCACTTTCTCCATAATGGATGATTTGTTAAGAAACTACCATTTTCAACCGTTGGCATTACTTCCATCACTTAACTATTTGCAACCGAGACTCTTGGATCGTGGAATGTGATAAGATTACCCATTAACTACTTCAATAACCGTTGCTTCAAATAGCAACAAGACACTATATTCGCCCAGATCTTGGGCATCTCACTAGCTTGAGTGATGATGGGCTCGCCCAGATCTTGAGTGTTTGGGCGTCTCGTAGGCTTGAGCGATGATGGGCCTCCATTACATAACTCCGTTTTGGGTTTTTACATGGTCTCATTTAGGTCCATCCTTCGAACTTCCTAACTGTGCTTAATTCTTTGGACCATTTAATTGTACCTCATTTTTGTATGTCAACAATTACCCGACAATATGGTAAAATTAATATCAATTATTAATCTTATGCCATATTCCTCCTTTATATTTTCCCGCGATGCTTGAAATCCTAAAAAGGGTGGAGAATCCCAATCATTATTTTTGTTTGGCAGTTACCCTCTACATCCTGAAAAGTGTAATATCACACAACTCCTATAAACCAAAGAACATGCCACTTCATCGCGCCATTAGACCCACGTCTTGCATCGCGCGTTTATTTTTTTCCCTATAAAGACCACTGTTTATCTTCTTGCTTCTCTGTTACGCTTCTCAAAAAACCCTCACGAAGACTATAATTTGTAGTAAATGGCGACTTCACAGAGCTCTTCCGACAACTCCCTTAATTTTGAAGACTTCCAAAACCTCCTCACCAAACCGTACATAAATCCAGCTTCCCTTTCACCAACCAACCATGTCCTCCATTAGTTATACCTAGGTCCGTCATTTAATGATGCTGAATCTGTTGGGCAAGCAGCGGTGGGCCAGTTATTCCTGCCATTCTTGTATCTATCAAGAATCCTATTTCTCCTTCGAAATCCCCACATGCTCATGTTAAACAACCTGTTATCTTCTAGTTCCCCACCTGCTCGAACTGGAACAGTCAAAGGTGTTCCCAACAGCAAACGGCCAGCTTCAGCTTCGTCGGGCTTGCGAATGACGATGATGATGATGATGATGATGCCCATCTCGTCATCAGGAGAAAGGTAATCGAGTTTGTTTATTCATGAAAAAATCCTTCATATGTTAATGTTTTACCTGAATCTTCTAGAAAAGCTCAACTTCTCATCTGAAGACTCTGCTTTTATCGGCTCTTGCTCCACCGTCTTCCACCAAAGCTTCTCCGTCCAAGTCATCTGATGAAGGGACTTTACCTAAGGAGAGGCCCATGGTCCAAGAGTCTTTGATCGCACAGCCAACTTGAGAACTTCTAACCTTCTAGGAAGCTTACCCCCCAAGTATTGAACCGACAGATAATACATATTTTATGGCTTTTCCCCTTGTTTATGTTGTTGGCCTTTAACTCATTATCACTTGATTCTTGCAGAAATTCCCAAAAAGCTGCCTATTATGGAAGGGCCCGCTCATTCAGACAAAGGGAAGTCCCCACAAGTGGTCGAATCAACTAGTAGTGTGCCCCAGTTTTCCAAAGCTACTGATGAGGTAGCATTTGTTTTGTCTTTCATCTTCACTTCGTTCAATGTAATGAAAATGCTAAATGCTTGCATTTTTCTTTACAGGATACTGATGATGTTTTGCGCTCTATTCAGGATTTGTTTACTTCTTGGGAACAGGTAAGGGCAAGTGTTGCCTCTCGTTCTTCTTCAGCCAGTTGTCCTTCTGCTTCTCCTGCTGCATTCTCAGAGGAAAACATGAACATTCTCAAGCAATCAGTGCTTGAATAAGTTTCCTTCATGGATATGAATATCAACAATGCCAATGCTTCTAGCCAAAGAGATAAGTTTGACCTTTTAAGTGCAAAAATGGCTCCAGCACTTGAGCTTCCTTCGCTTAAGATTTCATTTGATTTTAAGCTAACGTTAAAGATTATCCATTCAGAGATAAGTTCTTTGCTAGCCAGGAATGTAGAATTAAAAGCCAATAAGACTCAGTATATTCGTACTGTAAATGAAAATGAGTCTTTGCTTCAAAAGATTGAGAAGACCAAGAGCACTCTAAACTAAATCTCCTTTGAGGTTATGGTTGAGGATTCTTTGATGATGAGCCCGACTACAGAGGTGAAGGAACTTCAAGCAAGGATGGACGATTGTAGGGTGAGGTTAGGCGCTAAGAAGCGTACTGCTTCCCAAGAAGTTGAACGAGGAAAATCTTTGCTTGAACGTTACTCGAAATTGGAAGTTGATGAGGAACTTATGACTAACCTATCTGCCGCTTCTCTTGAACAGCACGATGAATGGGAGCACCTTAGAGAACAGATGCGTTCGCTTTGGGGCAAATTGTAATTAAGACATTAATGTTTTGACCTTTCTTGTAGGACAATTTCCTCTTACGCTTTGTTCTTTTAAATTTTATGATGACAGCTACCATTGGCTAAGATATTGATTACGCCCAAAGTGTTA